AAGGCTGGTATTACATTTGTCGTACGACAAAGTTTTTAAGCGTATTGATTGGCTGAAGGATAGTAAAATTCTCGAGTATCTAGAAACTTTCTATCCAGCGGCCAATCGACACGCTTGAAAAATTTGTCGTACGACAAATGTAATAGTACCCTTAGGCTGGGTCTACATTGGATGTCGTAAGTCGTGTCGGAAGAAATTGACCAATCACAGTTCATTATTCTTCGATCGTAAGGAGAATAATAGATAAGTATGCTCTTAATGTGTTTTCAACCAATTACAGAGCCGTATTAGCGTCTTAAGACGATACTTAAGATGATTTTGAAATGAGAATCGACTATGAATACCGGCCTATGATTAATTTCGTAAATCTTACGTCTTAAAATGTCATTGTAAACGCCGCATAACGGACGTTGGCGAGAAAGAGAGAAAAGAGACGAGAACAATGAACAATCGCATACAAGAAACAAAACTTAAGGTGTGTTTTTGTAGCTGCACTATGTTCTACTTGTTTGCACCCGTAAGGGAGACAGACATATGGGTGGTTATTGGGAGGGAAAGAGAGGGAACAGGGTGATGGAGAGTACAAAAGTTCAGCTACAAGGAACAAACGCCGCGATGTTGTGTGCGGCTGGGTGCAACGCGGTGTGTACAGGGTGACACGAATCAACATCGATTCTCGCCGTGATGCCGTAACTCGCCGCGCTTCACCGGCGTGGATACCTGTTATTTGGGCACTGTATACGATTTTAAATAACGTCGAGGTATCTCAACATGCGTATCTCGAACCACGTTTCACACGTTCCGCACCGCTGTCTCACGTAGATATCTGTTTACCGTGATGGATGAGCCGCCTGAAAAATTACCGTGCAACACGCTAACGTGAGTCCACAGTCTGGTAGCTTACGATGCCTCCCCGCAATAGTTTGTAATAATAATTAACTTGCAATAATCGGGATTTATTGGCGGTTTCGCCGTACACCGCCCAGGTTTAGAGCAGTCGTGTTATTCTGTATTTTAGTTGTAACGGGAGACTTTTTTTAACCGTTAGAGAAATAAAAATTTACCTGCTCGGCAGGCGAGTCTTGAAGTGCGTCAACAATTGCGTCATTTACCTCGTTAGAAATTATAATGTAAAATTATAATGTAAAATGATGTAGTTAATCGATCGAATGAAAATGGATACGTCCTTTGCACACAGGGCCAAAGAATTGTTGTGCAGCAAGGGTATCAATAATTGCATACTGGAGGAATGGGAGAGAGCCTTGAACACTTTGCCCAGAAACGGAAGGAAGCACTTCGAGCCGGACAATTCTTGGCTGCAGAATGTCCAGATTGAGAAAGGACTGAAAAATCGTAGGGACCTATTAAATATCGAGAGAGTCGAGCGGGTCTCGGAATTGGCTACTGCGGAATGGCTGCCGGCCCAGAAGAAGGCTCTTGTTACTAAAAGATCCGGCCAAGACTGGAGCAACTTCGGTCAGGAGAGAAACGGTTCCTTATATTTGCTACCAGAGGAAGCGTTGTTTCTCATGGAAACAGTACGTTTTCTACAATCTGCGTAGTATCTCATTTTTTACATAATGTTTTAATCATACAAGTTTATCTAATCTCTTCTACTTCCTAGAATTGTCTCGAACTCATTTGGAACGGGTTGTCATGCTCGATCCAGCAAGCATACGAAATCTTGATCGACGACTCGACATGTACCCTGGAAGAATATAGAGTTTATAGTCAATTAACACGCTATGGCTACCGTATACAGCGGTACTTTTACGAAGAGTCAGATAAGTGCAATAGAACGGATGAACTTACCATTAAACGGAAAATTATCGTCGATCCTGAAAATGGACTGAGAATGTCCGACAACCAACCGCAGAATAAGCAGAGCGCGAGGAAGTCAGCTGCGGCGAAGGATATTCCGGAGACGTCAAGTAAACCTTTCGTTAGTCTTGACCAGCAAGAAAAGGACCACGAAAAGACAACCGTACAAGAATCCGTGAAGCAAACAGTACGTAATCTGGTAGACCAGATTCTGTGTGATATAGAAAGTCAGGAAAATAAAAATAAACCAGCCACCTCTGGAGCAGACGAAAACAATACGGCGGAAAATGATACAAACAACGAGGATAGAAATCGCAATTCCAAGCCAGAAATCATTTCCGACGAGACTCTGTTGGGCAATATTAAAATTCTCCGAGACACATCGTGCAAGGTATCGAAGTGGCCGGGTGCTCGCATTCAGCGTAATGTTAAGCAGCTGCCTAAGAGGAATGACAAAGTATCCCCTCCGGAAATATCTATAATCGATTCCAATGTCACGGGTGAAAATCCGCGATGTACAGATAAACGCAAGTCATTGGCACAAATCGACGACTCACATGCGAAAAAGTCCAAGCACGAGGTAAGTTACTGTTAAATACGTATGGTGCACTCGCGTACTATTTGCCAAAAGTAATTTTTCTCTCTCTCTCTCTTTAATCAGGTGATTGAGTTGTCCGATGATGAGATTCAGGAATTGCCGCAGTGTATGACAAGAATGGAGATGTTGAATCTACTACCAAATATTGCCTTCCAGTCGGAAATCAGCGAGAAAATTTCCAGGCGATATATACCGCACAACATAAGGCCTCAGAGGAGCACATATCAATACAATCGGACGATGATTTTGAACATGCAGGAGAACGACAAGCAAGCGCGACAGAATTGCAAAGATAGCAGGACTAACGGGAGGCACCGCGCGTCCCACTCTAGGAGCCCACTTGCCGTTAATAACAGAAGCGCTCTCTTTCAAAGTCAACGTCCGCTCCTGCGCACTCCGTCGCGATCGTTTTATCCTGTAGACCAAATGCACGGGACGAACATTAACTTGCCTTACGCGTACAGATTTCCGTTCAACTACCTGCCGGACATTTATCTGCAGAATAGGGTCACGCAGAATGTATTTCACAATTTATTCGTCGCCTTCGGGAACCACGGGAACGCTGTTCAGCAAAGGAGCCTCACCATACAGATGAACAATTTCACGATGCCGATCCTGGAGGGCTACCGAACGAGACACTTCTTCACGGAGAACCAACTCCGGCACGGTTTCTATCAGAATGTTTCGTGGCAGCAAAGATTTTGTCAGCGCAGAATGCTGGAGAACGCGCCGGTGCATGGCAATGTGCATTCCGTTGCAAGACGACGACACGATGACGGCAACAGTCTAGTCGGTCACGAGATCGTTAATCGGCCTTCCTTTACGACGCGTCTAGGAGCTAACTCGTGGACGGAATTGAAGAGAAGATGGTCTGAAGAAAAAACCATCACAATCGACGACGAGGATTATAAGAACAAGAGTGAGAGCGAGGAAGATTGCACTGAAGTTCAAGTTGTGAAGCTTCTCAATCCTTTGGTCAGTCCGAGAAACGTATCCTCGATGACAGAAATCTTCAGTAGGCTCGCTATAATAAAATCAGCGCCGGAAAGGATCGTCAGAAGGAAAAAGAGCAAGTACAAGATATCGTACAACGTGTATTCTTGTACGCATCATTACAGAAAGACGAATCCCGGTCAACCATTGTATAGCCTGGTAGTGATGAGGTATTATCTGTTGATGAAAAGAAAAAAGGTATATTTCTATGAATGTCAATATAATTCCAAATTAAATTGCAGGAAAGAAGACTCGATCATCCAACCTGTTGAGTTGAATCGCCTGCAACAGGACGCGAAAGGTTCCCAGATAGTATTAGCATACGTGTCAATGTCAATATCGTACATTCAGCCGGGTATTATAACGATGCCAAACATAATTTAACGTTTTATTCGAAACACTTAATTGGTTGGAAACTGTTTTGAAGCGAGCGATGCGTCTATGTCAAAGATTATCCTGTAAGATGCAAACTTTTCGCTACGTTAATAAACTTTTATATACTTGTAAAAATGTCTAAGACTTTCTTCAATTTTAATAAAAAGGAAAGAACTGGCCAAACCGTGTTGGGAGGGACTTGGATAGGCTTGACTATTAAGACCTACACATAAGGACAATAAAACTATTATATATACATATATATATCACATATGTATACACACGTATGACACTATTGTGTGCATTTTCTAGAATCTAGATGACGAAGCTTGAGTATATGTGTTGGACTTCTACTTGCTCTGGGACAATGCTTTGAGTTTTTCAACAATCGAGAGCGGTCACAATGAGTGTTGGTTTCCCGATGGAAGTATTTTGTAAAGTACTGTGAAATTGATCAAAAATTGAGATAAATGTTATTGACAAATTACTGAATGTATGTAAAATGAATTATAATTTTTCTTAAATAAAGTTCAAAGTTATATTATGAGATATAAGGAATAAAGTACATTGTGCACAAGTATACTATTGAAGTGCTGTTGAAAAGTAATTAAAAAATTATATACTTTTTACAAATTTACCGAATTTAACTGAAAACCGTGTTCCTTTTTAATCAACGCGAATTTTATTCAAATATGAAATAATGAAATTTACCTTACATGTGCAGTTCTCAAATATTGACGAAACGGGGATCTGCTTGAGAGAGATTTTCAAATAAATTTCAGCGAAATTTCATAAAATTTTCAACAAAGTATTTCCAGGATTACTCAAGTGTTATACAAAGCATGAACTTTTGAAATAAATGTTAAAACAAAGGATAAAATATAGTCGGTCAATTATACACACACACGCACATGCGCACAATGCAGACACATAGGCATCTGCACATCTGTGCTGTGTTTACTGCGCTTTCGCCATTTTCGCGGTGGTGTTGCACTGTGCGTGAACTGTGATATTCGACAAGCGGCCGATCCGAACGGATTGAAACAGATGGAAGGTACGGCACGAAAGCGAGCTCGGAAGGGAAAACCTGGTGTGTCTAAGAGCGACGGCGCGACGCAAAGCGTTGAAAATGCATTGGATTCGAGTACCTATCTAACCTACGACATCCTGAGAATTGTCTTTAAATATTTAAACGCCAAGGACCTGGGGAGTTCCGCGAAAGTTTGCAGGTACAGCGTGCCTAATTCACTGATGATCCACGTTCCATTTCATTTTAAACATCTATTTCATGCAAGCAGAATCATTATAGTCTCCGTATCATCTGTCTCTCTCTATATACCGTGTGGACAGACACAAACGAGATTTGACTTACAAACAATCTCTGTGGCGTTTTCACGTCGTGTCTTTACGAGCTTGATAACAAGACTATTTCAATGTCAATGTTTAATATCGCTCCGTCTACTGTGAATAAAAAGTACATGACGTTGCGGACGAGATGCTGAGCGCAGCATAAATTTCAGTACAAAATTATTCGTTTCAGGTCCTGGATGGAAGCTGCGAGTAATGAGAAACGCACACGAGGCCCTTGTTGCTTTGCGCAGCTTTACACGCCTGCTTACTTAAGTAGCCTAAAGAATCTAAGAATTGCACCGTCAGCAGGATTCCTTTTTTTCCCCAAGGATATTACACAGTTAGCAATAGGTATGTATTTTACTACCTTTTTTACCATATTGTCTTCAGTAGGTGCAAACATAATTTTTTGGCTGTTATAAATGTATGTAATCAATAACAGATGCACATAATGTGAAGTTGAGGAGGTATGTCATAAAAATCAAAATGCCTCGGTCTGCTTGAAAATTATACAGAATGTTCTTTAAAGCGACTGATATCGTATTGAAAGTTAATAGGAAAAAAAAGATTTTATGAACGATAATCGTTTTGTTTCAAACAATTTATGCTAAACTGTGTTTTAAATGCTACTTTAATATGAATTCTTTTATTCGTCTTCCCATTCAAGTCATAAAATAATACTGGATTGCTAAAGTCACTTTCTCTTTTCAAGTTTCTATACAGGAGTCGCTACCTGAAGATTGCCAGACTATAATGTTACATAGCCAAGGCATTGTTAGGGAGAATAAAGAAATAGAGGTTTTTTCATTGCCAATTATAACGTGTGCGTTTTTACCACACGTCCCGACAGTGAGAATAAAGTCGTTTAAACTGGCAGAACATTCTAACATACAACAAACGGTTGAGTATCAGAAGATAATTAGTACAATTGTTAATTGTGAAATATCTGGGTCGACTCACGAGACGTCTGCGTGTTTAATGTTATTCTGTAATGTTGTGGGCATCACCGCAGCAAAACGTTGGGCTTCAGCCATACAAAAAAGGTACATACTATTTGTGTTCTGCCCAAGCAACAATACATATCCAAGTATATTATTCAGATATCATGTCCAGCTGTTATGTAACGATACTTGATAACATGTTTATTTCTCTTTGCATATACTCAGCAAAGAAAGCAAAATTGTTTCTGTATGGGGTGGTGTAGTGCAAACCATTTACGCGCCACAAGCATATAAAGCGAAACGAAAATTTGGGAATAAGTTGAATTTGGTCCCAAAAATGTACGAGTCAGATTGCGTCGCTATTGTGATTACTGGTCCCGTACAAACGTGGTCGACGATTTTGGAGAGGAAATGCAATACGAAGGAGCGAGTCGAGGAGAGATTAAAGTTATTCAAGGACGAAGTGAAGTTAAAGAAACATTCCGTAGGATTTATGTTTGCGTGTAATGCTCGCGGGACAGAAATGTTCGATGAAGCTCATGTGGAATCAACGATATTCAAAAGATTATTCCCCAAGGTACCCTTAGTGGGCTGCTTCGGTTATGGCGAGTTTGGAAAGACTACTATCGATGAAGAAAGTGAGTAATCTTTTTCTTTAGTGATAATATCGTCTCCCGACAGGTCGATATATTGTTTTCTCCTGTTTTAGAAAGTGACAAAGAGGAACATAAATACAAGAAATCTAAATCGTGGTATAACGAATTCTCTACTGTGTTTTTGATACTTACGTACGATTGACGTTTTTAGAGAAGACATGCCACATGAGTGCTGTGTGCCACGAACATATTTTAATACTTGTGCGTCACTAGTTTTAGACTGGTATTCATACGGCTCTGTGATTGGTTTACAATAGCTTAAGATTATACCTAGGACGATCTTAAACGTGAAAGCGAACTATTAATATCAGCCTTGGATCTTGTATTCACGGATCTTTTTCTTTGTTAACACGACAGGATATGAAAGCAATGACATGCATAGAACAAAAGGATACAATACAATGAACGTCATAGCAATAAATTTGAGGACAGATATTGTATCCTATTCTTACATTAGACGTAATCTGCGAACGCGCTTTTTGTACGAATCCCAAAATAATGTTACCGAGGAATAAAAAAAAGAACAAGTTGTAACTTGTGATAATATATTCTGTTCGTACTACGCAACTATATTTCTCTTTCTTTTTAGTCTCTCGAGTTTACTTTTTTGAAGAATTCGTTTTAAATGCAAATTGTATCCAGCAATCGCGCGTCTATTCAATGTGATCCGCATTGTTCAAAACACGCGTATCAGAAGCGAATGCAAATAATTCACGATACCGAGTCGCTTCACAACACTTGTAAAATTATCGGCTAACCAGCCGGTTTCAACATTGATTTAGCGCTGGTCGTGCGCGATATGCTCGCACAAAGTCACGCATTATTCAGTTTGGTACAAACCTGCACCCTTCTGAATGTAATTATAATCTCCCTCTTGACAGTACTTCCGCGCTCGCGATACAACATGCGAGATAAAACAAGAGAAACCAGGCCAAGCGAAAGGATACCAGCGTCTTATCGTGATACCGCCAGAACTTAAAAAGGAGTCTCCATCCTGGGGCACCAGTGATTTAATTACTACCGCGTCGTTCGCGGTTTTAATGCGTGGTCTGCGCGGCTTGCGATCGATGTCCCTTGCTTATTATAGCGAAGTTGAATGTCAGTAAGATGTTACCGAGTTTAGTGTCGAAACAAGTCTTCGTTCTTGTTGTACTGCGATATTTCGCGTACTCGATGCAACAATGGGACAGCGGTTTGCGCCAAAGATACGACGGTTACGGAGAGGACTGGATATTCATGCCTGATGGCAACGGGCAGCCCCAAGTAGCAGTGTTAAAGATCCAAGACAACGAAAGGAGTGGCGTACTGGACTACTCGGAAATAGCCTACATAATCTACACTCGGTACCCAATTGCCAGTCCCAATGTGCATATTAACTAGCAATACCTGTCGTAATATTCTGCCGTTAATCACTCGATCTAACTTCCCGCAATGTTTTTAAGATCTAATCCGAAACAAGGCACCCGGGTGGTTCTAAACAACAGCACGAATCTCGCTGGCTCCGACTTCAAGTCCTCGCGAAAAACGAAATTTATAACTCACGGATGGAAGTCGAGCGCCATGAGCGCCGGACTTTTGAACATGAAAGACGGTGCGGCCGATTATTTCCAATTGACTTGCGAATTAGATCTCGGTACATCAGCGAGACGCACTCCAAGATAATTTGCATTCTTTCGAGCAGCTTTTCTCACTCATGGCGACTACAACGTTGTCCTCGTGGACTGGGAACCCTTGGCCGCGAGCACATTTTACTTGGGCCCGATGCATAACACCGTAAGAGTCGGGACTGACGCCGCCAAGTTCATAGACTTCTTAGTGAAAGAGACTGGGCTGAAAACAGAAGACGTTCATTTCATTGGTAAAAAATTACCTCGTATAAGACTAGTCTCTTGTAAATCGCAACTTCATTGCCGTCTATCTATTAGGTCACTCCCTCGGGGCACACGTAGCAGGAAATGCGGGTGGTGCGACGAGTTATGGGAAATTGAGCAGAGTAACGGGTCTGGATCCGGCGCTGCCGGGCTTCCACATGCTCGCCTCCGAGAAAACTCGGTTGGATCCCACGGACGCGGCGTTCGTCGATGTCATACACTCCTGCGGGGGTGTATTAGGCTTTCTTCAACCACTGGGAAAAGCAGACTTCTACCCGAACGCCGGTACGGCGATCCAGCCCGGATGTTGTTGCGTCCCTGAGATAGTGGGTAAAGTATCTATCTCTGTCACTAACGCGGATTCTCGTTCAACAAAAACATCCGACTCTTTCCATCATTCTAGAGGCTTGCAGTCATGGACGGTCATACGTATACTTCACAGAAAGTATAAATTCGAAAACCGGACTGCCGGCTCGGAAATGCGACAGTTGGGACTCGTATATGACCGGCAAATGCGCCGATTCAAAAGTAGTGCTCATGGGAGAGCACGTCGAACGCACCGCCGAGGGTCTATTCTTTCTCAGGACGAGATCGGACCCGCCTTACGCGTACATACCAGAAGTAACCAGCAACAGTGTGTCTAATTGATATACAAGAGCAAGCGTATCTTCTCCAAGATGCACAAGTCTCGAAGTGATTCCTTGTATTCCGATGATCGCAAGAACAGCAAATATAAAATATCTTGCTTTAATAAATAGTAATTACATTATCATACACATGACTGAGGTATAATAAACGTAGCGACGAAACAATCATTATTCCTGGATATTATAATCTTTCTACCTTGCCTCAAAGAAGCTCGTAAAAACTTTACGCACCAATGTCGCGTCACTCGGGGCACCTGTTATCCCGCGGTAGATAAAAAATGTACAGCACCAACAAACACGGGAATGACTTAACATTTAAATCGGTTTGTACAGCAAAGTTGTGACATATTTTTTGCGATAACGATGCGTGGCCGACAGGACCATCACGCTGTCTTTAATGCTCAGAGCATAAAGATGGTTCAGCATAACGTGATTTGGTTCAGGTAGAAGAGTAGGCTCGCACTAGAAGAGAAAAACAGTGTTTGAAAAAAAAGAAGACAGGAAGTCTCGGCGAATTTTCCCAACGAAATGCATCTTTTCCTTCAACCTACGGATAACGGTGTGTCCTTGTTAAGGATAACTTGCAACAGGTGCGGCGGCAAGATAGGCGGGCCGGTTATCTTCTCCCAGGGCTTGTGCGGTGGTATTTCCTGTCCGTACTCCGTTTGAGTACTACTAGTAACGCCCTCGCTGTCTTTCGCGAGAGCTTGAAATACCTCAAAGTCCGACTTCCTCACAGAAACTAAATTATTCTTGGAGCCCATGCCATTGTCCACAATTTTCTGTAACGTCAACAGTTTCGGTATTCAGTGACATGTAATGTACAGATGCGGCGTAAGTAATATATATACTCTCTAAAATTTGTGGAGTGAAAATACTGCCATGGAGTGAAATGTTCGCCCTATTGGCGTGAATATTTCCTCCAACAGAGTGAATATTAACTCCAATGGAGTAAACATTTCACTCCATGGCAGTATTTTCACTCCACAAATTTTAGAGAGTACACACACACACAGAGAGCTATTAAATTCAGAAATTTGACGCTCACCAGCCCGGGATCGTGCCTCCATTCCCCGTCGACGAAGAACTTATACTGATGTTCTCCCTCCGGCAGGTCAATTATCGTGACAAAATCTCCGTGGCTCTTCACCATCGGCAACGTTTTCCATCCGGTGAACGTCCCGCTAATGTACACCTGCTTTCCGCCTCCTTCCCACTTGAAAACGGTCGGTAGCACCTTGCTGTCTGCAACTTTTGTTCCCTCGGACACTGTATTAGACCTCGGTCGCTGCGATCCAAAGTCATCTCCGTCCTGCTGGCCGCTCTATTTAAGTATCCACATAAAATTACAATACAATACTTTTGTATAAATGTTACTTTGATGCCTCTTAATTACTTTGGCAAAGTACGGCTCTTCTTCCTCGTGAGAGGACTGAAACACGAGCTTCTGGCTGGGCTTCTTGTCGAAGACGAATGCTTGGCCTTCCTTTCCCGGCGAAGGTGGCGGATGATCCTTGCTGTGTCGGTGCTCCCTGCTTACTGTGGTGCCATGATGATGCCCGACAGGCTGATTGCTCCCCGCATTACCCATTATTGCACCTAAGATTTTGACAAAGGTGAAAACAAAAGCTCCATCTCACCCTCCGCCACGTCCAAACAATTTTAAAGCAGGTAAACTGAAGCGCTATGCAGTCAAGTGCGACGAAACGTGTGGATATTTAACGTAGGTTAATCTGAGATTAATTAATCACCGTGTTATCCCTCTTCGAGAGGGAAAGGGAGACGATCGTGGTGAATAAGTACGAGGGTGCGGACATTATATAATGCGGTCGGTGTGCGAAACAACGTTCAACAAGTGTAACGCCGTTATTCACCTGTTTGCAACAATCTCACCTGGTGCTCCGATATACGCGTCAACGACGAATCGGGAATGTAAACATTCGCTGGCGACGTTAAAGCTAGGTCGAGCCCGACCTCGGGATAAAAATTCCGATGCGACTCTATTCCCGCACAAATGTTTCGATCGTCCCGAGGGCCGCTCGCGCGACGGAAATCGCAATATTCTTGATCGCGGTTGTATACAACGCATCTATCGTGTCACAAGACTTTTTATCGCTCAAAATAGTATCTAATATCGACATGTAGACGACAAGATACTGCAGAGACTCGCTTTACCGGGAGCGTTAGATGTGACATGACTCTGGGCGTTTACGCGTAAAATACACGTGCGATGTAAACTATGTATTTAACGAATCGTGTAAACAACGAATAAACCGTGGATCATCGAACGCCCGCATATCGGCAAGAAATGTTATGTTTCTGTTTGTAATTATATCTTTAATTGCTGCTAACTAATAAATAAGGAATAAAAATTATCGATTAAGAAATCTAATCTTGAAACTACTTTTGTCCTTTTAGAACTGTTTGCGAAATAATACAGTTCAAGGAGAGATCAATTAGTCAATCAATCGCTCAGTCAATTTACATTACTTATATATTAATTAATAAATTAAATTAATAAGTAATTGATTTAATTGTATCTTTTAAATGAAAAAAAGGCTCTCGTAAACACAAACAATACGTAAGCAATGTGTAAATGTGATCTTGAATTAAAATGGCATTTAATCTTGGACGATAATATCGCAAGTCGATAAAACTGGTAACCTCAGCCACTTTATAATGCGGGGTGCTTTCGCGACGTAGGTCAAAATGATCCGGATCAAAATGATCCGTGCTATGATTGGTCAAATCTGGAATTTCATTGAATAAAATTTCAATGTGATACTACGAAATTTCAGATTTGACCAATCATAGCACGGATCATTTTGATCCGGATCATTTTGACCTACGTCGCGAAAGCACCCGCGGTCGTTCTCAACAACGTCGATAACGTAGGTGGTTTTAGTGACGATAGAAAATCTACTTTGATGACGTGTAACGTTTGTGCTAACATGAATGAGTGATTAGTAATGGTAGGCTCGTTCCCGGCCCTCGTCCCGTATATTTTCCCGTTAAAGAAAATTTCAAAAATTCAGCGCTCGAAGGAGTTCAAGCGTTTGGTGTTGCATTCAGTGTTTAATCAAGATTAAGCATGAATTTCAAGGAATTTTTAGAGCTATCACGCGGATATAATCTAACGGTTGAAAGGCGTTTCCACAAGAGAGTAAACTTGAAAAAAGAAAAAGAAAGAAAACAACTCGATCGATCGCAAGGCAGAACGCGCTGGTTTAGCACGTTCCTGCCGGGATAAACTCTACAAACTTGTACAAAGAAATTAAATATAACTGCCAGAATTTAAGAAATTCTATGTAAATTTTAAGTGTTATAAAAATCAACATAAAAATGCTGGAATTCGAACACTTTTGCTAATTTTTGTAATAATCTACAAGTGAGCAGATGTTTTCATTCTTCAAGATTTTGTTGTTTCGCAAATTTTTCAAACTAGCAAAGTTTTGTATTAATTTTTACAAAATTGTACATTTTCATGAAATACTACTTGCAATAATTTTCTGGAACATTGTAATTTGTGGAACTATTTCGTGGATATTTTTACGGAAAAACAAATGTTTCAACGAAGATATAAAATTTTCAAGTCAATTTTTTGTAGTATTTATAGAAATTTGTCTGAAATTTATTTGTGTCCGAAGTACAACGTAAGATATCTCGCAACAATAGCGATAAAATGACGATAACATCAAGATCAAGAGTCAAATAAATCATCAAGTCAAATAAAGAATGAAGATCAAGTCAAATAAAGAATATTTACCATAAAATTGCTCCTCCGGTATCCGAAGTCTTTCCTAGGGCCTCTTTCTTCATTCAGCGTGTCCACTCGCGACGCACTCGCGACGACACTAAGATCGTTTGCGTGATTTTACACTCTCGTTTACAAAATCCATGTGAAAGTATTCCGTCAAATTTGCCTCCACTTTGAGTCGACGAGTATTATTCCCAAGGAAACTGCCGAAACTCGAAAGTGTGGCGACAGGACATTTAACGAATACTTGTTCAAATGGATTTTGCAAAGTCTTGATTGCTTAAACGGCACTCCCGAACGACGAGAATGAAAACTTTATATTACGAGAAGCGACGCGAGGACACACCAAACACCCGTCTCGCTCGACTAGAGCGGCACCGAATGATTCAGCAGAATAGACTGTCTTGGAACCGGTTCTCGGCCTACGGCGCTCGGCGAAACTAGAGTCTAGAGATACTAAAATAAGAGACCGGACACGAGCAATCGCCGTCGATTGGTCCGCCATGTTTGTGCTATTGCCGCTGATTTTCAAATACATGAATTACATTAATGACGAATAAATTACGTAAGGCTCTGAAATGAAAAGTACAAGTACAGAAAAAGGGAGGCCCAATAAGAGCCAAACGCAAGTTAAAGTGCGCAAGTATTTAATTGCATAAAAAAAATACATATAACTGACATTTTTTTCAATGTAATTAAATATCTGCGCACTTTAACTTGGCAGGGCGATCGATATATAATTTTTCGTTATTATTTTACCCGGCGATTCGTGTATGACTACGGATCGCGACAATTAAACGCGATTGATAAATATTACTATCTCTCGTACGAGACGATCGTGTTGCGCGAAAAATAATCGCGTTACGAGGAGCGACGTGACAACACGCAGAACCGCCTCGCTCGACTGACCCGCGCCGACTAACTCAGCTCAATAGATTGTTCTCGATCGAGGTGTTTACGGCGTTACGTTAGTTTTTTTTGAACCGGCGCCGCCGGCGACCGAGTTGTTTACGACGCTCGGTCTATAGCGATACGTCATTTCTTGGAATCCACGCTCGGTTTTCGGCGCTCGGCGAAACACAGTTACGCCGCACGCGAGATCATTCACACGGCGACAATGAACGAGTCCTTCTTGATACGCGTTTGATTACGATACAAGTACGGGAAGAAACGAATAATTAGCGATCAAATATCATCGCGTGATTGCCAGAATCCTCGCGATTTGCCTTCGATGCTCGGTTACCAAGAGTGATAATTACGGATTAATTACGGACGATAATTGTTTCTTTAAATGATGCTCGTATTCGTACGTCTCGTATCGTCGCATTGAGTCTCTCGTAGCTTCGTGTATAATTTGTCGGCCAATCATGTCACGAGATTTGGTCAGTCATGCCACGAAATGTAAGAACACACTTTCCTGGTGAAAATATAAATTCGAGGGTAAATCGAATGTAAGGAGAGAGTGATAGAAGCGTAAATGAAAAGTGTGGGAAGCGTAATTTGGAACAGCGAAGCGTAAAAGAAACTTCAACGCTTCTTTTACGCTTTGCTGTCCCAAATCACGCTTCCTACACATTTCGTTTGCGCTTCTGTCACTCTCCCCTTACATTCGATTTACGCTCCAAATTCTATTTTCACCAGGGTTGGTATGAGATTGAGAACGAGAAATTAAATATGGACGATTCCTTTTTACGTTCGGTGGAAAATTCGGTAATACTGAAGGATATTATTGTATGTTTTCGATTGGGATTTTTGCTCGCCGAACGATAGTCCGTTTATCTGTGGAATTCAACGGAGCAGGCACGGCGTATCTTTCATTGTTTATTCGTCAAAGTTATTATGGCTGCGTTCGGGGAGACGCTATTTAGCGCTATGAGCGTGCTCTGTCCTTGTTACTTGCAAAAGTTGAACAAGGACAGAGCACGCTCATAGCGCTAAATAGCATCTCCCCGAACGCAGCCTATGTCTCTTTGTCACTCCCGCGCGCGCCGCTCGGCACTTGTTTACGTCGAGCCGCCGCGCCGCCGGTGGCCGCCGCGCGCCGAGGTCAGAGAACGTTCCATGTGTCGCATTACCATTCGTACCGCCGGTACGAATGCCACGGGACTGTCTGTACGATCGTTCTCCGTGCAATTAAACGATGCGTCGCGACGCCTCGATCGAGCCTTTCGATTTCGCACGTACCGCGCGACTTGCGCCTTGGTTTCTCGGAGCGCGCACTTCACTCGATACACGGCAAGTGAACCGCCGAATCGCCGTCTACCGCTCGTGCTTGCTGTTCGACGGAGAAACCGAATGTAGAGGAGAACCGTGAGTGTCGAATTCTCGTCAACGTGCTAGTTTGTGTGTTTCTTCGTGCGAGTGATATCCAAGTGAAAAGTGACGACACCCTTGTCGCGCGTCGTCGACGCGACTCGCGTAGTGCCGCGCAGTGCAGCGGCAGGGGGTGGGGGGCAGCCGGGTACCAGCGCCATGTTGGTCAAGTTCCTCGGATACGCAGTGGATCGTTCTCCCGCGTCGACGGGATCGTCGCAACGCATTTCACGAAGGCACGCGTAACGCAGGTGAGTTTGATACCGATCAAGTTGAGCAATCGCGTCGCGGATTCGATACCCGTGCGTCGTTGATCCACCGAGACGCGTATTTCGCGAGGTGCCGGAATCTCTTCCACCGTTGCCGTCGCGCCGCTGTAACCACGCGCGACGCGAACGTACCGAGAGCTCCAATTCCGATTCGTATCTTTTCGTGCGCGTAGAATTTCGCGAGTGATGCGCGGTGAGAAAGATGTCGGCGCGAAATCGCCCCGTCAACGCCCGCATTCGGTCTCTTTTCTCAGGCAACGCGCGAGGTTACCCCTTTTCGCCGAAACGTCCCCGCCGACTTGCGCGACGCCATCGAGCGTATTCCCGCGCGCGATCGCGACTCCCGTTCTCGTTTGCAAGCAGAGCCCGCGTCGAATAACGTCGGGATAATTTGCTCTTTCGCGAGTGTTGTGCCGGTGCGAAACGGAGGAATCCGAGAGGAAGCGGCGGCCTACGAGGCGTCGGGCGACCGTGAAGTAACCCTCTCGCGAGTGCGATTATTTTTTACATTATTCTCGTGTTAACTCCATTTCGCAGATTGCTTTATTATTTCCCTTTTCGTTTACGCGATTTGCCCGTTCGAACGATTCACACGAGCACCGGCCGAAACATTAATTTTTACGCACGAAATAAAAAAGGAAATTTTTGTCTGTGACGTTCTACGAAGATTTACGTTCGCGGAAGATTTCTTTCCGGAAATGGTTTAATCTTTATTTATATTCATGACAGTTGAAATGAATAACGCGTATATTTCGTATGAAATTATTAAGTCTTTTTCTTCATGTTGTGTCATTCAAGTACGTTAATTGAA